TATGTCGTGGTCTAAATAGTTTCTGTCGTCCAGTACCTTATCTTTGCAGTAACCATTCCTCAGTATTCCACATACAGTCTGAAATTAGCCTTATCTCCAGCCAAGATCTTTGTGTGAAACGGTACCAAGAATATTTCAAATCTGATAATAAGCTTTGGCGTTTTAATTTTTAAGGCTAAATTTCTTCGACTGGGAATTAATTGATATCATTAAAAGTTTAAATCATTCTAAATTTCCAGATAAAGTATGTAATGATGGATTATTACACAAGACGGTACATCCTTGTCCTTCATTTTGCTGTTTGTAGATCAGTATGACTACAAATCTCTGATTTTATCATACAATAGAATTCTTTGTTATTTTACTTTGATATATCCACCAACTTCGATAATTTTGACAATCTATGATGACGCAGCTTCATGTGCTAATGTTTCTTCGTGGAACACCTTAAATTTTTATTTTGTATTCAGTATTGATGAAACCCTAATATTGGCCAAGTTTTCTTTCAATTCAAATTAATTCTTAATTTTTTTATATCACTAATTTAATGTATACAAAATTTTTAATTTCAAAAAAGAAACTCAATGGGATTGGGCAGCAAGCAAAGCCTATTTTAGCCCTCCTTCTACAAGGTATATCATTAAGTATATCATAGGCATGAACAATGGGCAAAACAGTGCAGCTCAATTCTCAAACACTTTTGCAAACTTTGAATCTTTCGGAAATAGTAATCCCCAAACAAATACACGAACAGTAGAATATAGAACACGTAATGTGGACTTCATTATTTCTTCTTTTAGAGAATTTTCGTACAGCAACTGTTTTGTATGCTAGAATTTTGATATTGCAATTCAATTTTAATAGAATCTTACAACTTATCAAGTTAGTGGCCCTGTATGGTCAGACAATCAGAAACGCGGCACGTGCAGTGAAAACAAAGATCCCTTAATGCAAAACACTGATGACCCCGTATGGCAACGTATTGAAGATTAAACTTTTTTAAAATGCAAATTAAATATATTATTACCCAAAAAAGGGGTTTTCTCACAAGAAATACAATAATTGTGAAATACAAAATCCGTAGCACCACCTATTCAAAAGTTAAAGTTGAGGATAAATGTTTGAAAGGTATGACAAACTCCAAGGTGAAAGGGTCTAAGTAGTTGGTTTCTTAAGAAAGGTCTTCTCACAAGGATTACATATGTTAAGTACGAAAGCCCTGGCCCTTACCGTTAAAAAGTTATGGTCAAAGACAATTTTTTTTATAAGTACGTAAATCTCCAAGGTCAAGGTAAAAAGGTCAAAGTTGTTGGTATCCAAAGAAAGGACTTGCAACAAAGAATACATATGTGAAATATGAAAGTCCTAGTACCTACTGTTCAAAAGTTGTGACCAAGGTCAAAGTTTTTTAAAAAGTAGTTAAAACTCCAAGGTCAAGGTCAACGGGTCAAAGTTCTTGGTATTCAATGAAAGGTCTTTTCACAAGAATTACATATGTGAAGTACAAAAGCCCTAGCCCTTACCGTTCAAAAGTTATGGTCAAGGTTAAAGTTTTTCCATAAGTACGTAAATCTCCAAGGTCATGGTCAAAAGGTCAAAGTTGTTGGTATCCAATGAAAGGTCGTGCCACAAAAAAATAAATATTTGAAATATGAAAGTCTTAGTATCTACCGTTCAGAGGTTGTGACCAAGGTTATAATTTTTAAAAAGTAATTAAAACTTCAAGGTCAAGGTCAAAAGGTCAAAGCTCTTGGTATCCAATGAAAGATCTTCTCACAAGAATTAAATGTTTGAAGTATGAAAGCCCTATCTCTTATTGTTCGAAAGTTATGTTCAAAATTAAAGTTTTTTTTTAATAAGTATGGAAATCTCCAAGGTCAAGGCAAAAAGGTCAAAGTTGTTGGTATCTAATGAAAGGACTTGTTATACACATATGTAAAATATGAAAGTCCTAGTATCGACCATTCAAAAGTTACGGCCAAAGTAAAAATTTGGAATTTTTGTGTAAAATTGGGTCAAACTCCAAGGTCAACGTCAAAAGGTCAAATTTGGTGGTACACAAAGAAAAGTCTTGTCACAAGGAATACACATATGAAATTTGAAAGTCATGGATCCACTAAATCAAAAGTTATGGGCAAGGTTAAAGTTTTTGTGACGGATTGACAGACGGACGGACTGACAGACGAATGAGATTTAATGTTCCCTCGCTTTCGCAAAAGCGGGGGACAATAAATAAACGTGATTCAGTTGCTCGTGGCTATAATTTGAAAAAGGTCACCACTCAATCACAGATTAAATAGTGCTTGTATTGATCTCTATAAACAAAATGAAGCATGCAATGCCAGCTGTTAATTTAGGTCTTTAAGTAGTTGAAGGATACACTTAAAATAAAATATCAAAAAATATAGTGAAAAATTGATACCCCAAATGACAGCCTATAACGAACGGTAAAGTTTCTAAAAATGCAAGATTAACACCAAAGTCAAGAGATCGAAAATGTTTCTTAAAAGGACTTGTATTAATGACTTTATCTGTAGAATATGAAAACAAAAGACCCAACCCTTCCTAAAATGTGTTAGCAATCTCTTTGTATAGTATGAAATTGAGAAGAAATACACATGTACATGTATGTTCAAACCAATCAAAATCCAAGTTCAAGGGGCCAAAAACAATGAATCTCAGGGAAATGACTTTTTACAAGGTATATACCTTTTTATTAAGTATGAAAGCCGTAACATCAGCTGTACAAAAGTTAAGACCAGGATGAAAAATTGACAATTTTTTGCAAGTGGGTCAAATCAGTCAAAATAATTTATTCATACAAAAAGAAAGGTCTTGTCACATTTAGGAGTACGCATGTGAAATAAAGCCAAAGTTTTTGTGGACAAACAGACTAACAGACACACAAACGGACGTACGGACAGGGCCAAAAATATATACATAGCATAACACCGAAATTTCTATTTCGATTGCTTAAGGGGGCAACATAGAAAAACAATTGCATTAGGATTAGTGACTGAGATATTTCCTTGAAAAGGCATGTAACATTCAGCTGCATTGTATGTGTATATCAAAATATTGTATGGGTATATATATTTTTTAATGAAACCACCTTTTAAAAGTTAGAATCTAGTTCTTGTAAATAAATAAACAAATGACAAACAATAAAAAAAAAGGCTATGTCGTAAATCGCATGTGAGTAACACACTTGTCTGTTGAATATTTTGTGATGCATGCATATAATTTCAATAATAAAAAATCCTTATGACGATTACGTTTTTATATATGGAGATATGGAAACCAGACCTTTACATGTTGCATGTTAAGGGGGCACATGGAGCTCTCACGGCTGGTTGTCAAGTTTCCAAGGAAAAAACCGCAGGAGAGCAAATAGGTAAACCACTAGAGGTCTGTGAATGGTAATGAACCTGCTAATCCCAAAAATCGACAAGCTCAACCGCATGCATTATATTTAAACTGCAATCAGTTGTTTGATACTTTAAATTGCAGTACATGATCTCTTAACTGTTTAACGTCCAAGAATTCTAAAATGCTTTTACAATAATAAAAGTTGGTCTTTCTTGGCACTTGACGTACCTTTCAGCTTAAGAGGAACGATGCATGCCAATTTGGATTTATTTCAATGCATGTATGTGCTTATTCTGTTTTAATTTGTTTATCTGTTTGCGCCCCTTGGGTCTTCTCTGTTCCTGTATTTTTTTAATTGCAATCCTTGCATTATATATTTCAAATATTTGAAGAATTCGTGAGAGCTTAGGAAAAAAAAAACAAGGTAGAATTCATTAACGTCGAAAACGTTGAACTATATTTTGATTCAAATTCATGCAATATACATTTTCATGAATGACCTGAATACAGAATTGTATAGCTTATTACTTGGAAGGGAAAACACTTCCTATCGGATTTGTCGTAAAGCCACTTTTCTTAAATGCATATTCTCTACTGGTTCCTAAAATTAGCTTCAATTCAATTTTCAAAATCAGTTTTCTGGAATGCATTAAAAAGTTTCCTGTATGTTTAAAAGCTTTCTGATTATAGCCTTAAAAAATAGGTCACAGTGACCTACATTTTTGATTTTGCCAACATTAGTTTTCAAATTATTTTTGAAGCACATTTGAGACTTTTTAAACAGTCGGTCGGAAAAAGGCATCTAAACATGTTTAAAGATGACTTTAGGTCTGCATATAATGTTAAAAATAAGAAAATTATGATGACAATATAAATAAATTTTATTTTGTACACAAAATAAAAACATTTAATTGAACAAATAGCAAGGTAATTATATGAATAGTTTACATTTTCCTCAAGTATCTTTAACATTGAACAAATACATTTCAGTAAGAACAGTACATACGATTCAGATTTTGCAAATATTGCATTCAATTACAGAAAACTTCTTACAGATTAATTTTACATGAGTATGCATTTCGCAAAAACTGTCAGTAATGCCGAGTAATCATATGGCAGTTTATGTGTTAGTTTTGACATTGAACATTGAGGTGTCGTACTTCGTACGCTGTCGTTTCTCTAAATTACCATTAACAAATAACAATTAGTCGTGTTAGTTTTGTGTAACATGTAAGTTACCCGGGATTCCCCAGGATGTCCAGTCTAGTGCACAATATTCGACTCCTTGACGGAGCGTTTCCGGATTGTTAGAAAACAACAGATATGGCAAGAACAACAGTGCACACATGGACAATTTTTGATTGCATACTCAGAGCCATTTTTCAGCATACACAGAGAGGAGAAGGAATTCGGTTTACCCGTATTAAAATGAAGATGTCAAATCTACAAGCTGCGTATATTTATAAATAAAAGGGCTATTTCGGCCCAGGTTTTACAGAATATTGTACAATGTGCCCTGTTATATACATAACAAAATACATACTGATCACAATTAATACATAAACAGAAACAATTAATGATCAAGCACCTGTTTGCTTATTGATTTAATTATCAAAAACTGTCCATTTTACGGCGCCAGACCGAGCGCAAAATCTGACAGTCAAGAACCAGCAGAAAATAGCGGGCCACTTATCACAACGATAAACAAAACCAATCAAAGGTCATAAATTACACCTGTGTCGTTTATTTGTGTACAAGAACGATCTGCTGGGAAAGAAATGAAATAATCTTAATTAAAAACCAAGGTCCTCGAGATTATTTTCAAAGGGCAGAAGCAAATCAATCCGTACGTCAATCACAAAATTACCATAATTTTAGAATAAGAATTAACAGAGAAGTATAACAAAAAAAAACAGTTCTTAATATCATATGGTAAAAATATCGCATCAAAAATTTCTGAAACTAATATTCTATTCTAGGCTGGAATTGTAAAGCCGTGGTTACGTTTGGTTGTAAGTGTAATCCTCGATCGAAGGCTTCCATGGGAATGGCCTGGAGAGTTTCCAGCTTAGGACAATGTTTCCTTTACTCCTAAAGCATTCCAGTGGATATAGACCAAACAGATATATTTCATAATTCTAAACAGATAGAAAAATGCAATCTTTTTAAATCTAGAACATGAGCTTTAAACACTTTTGAGAGTTCTTTAAGCACGACTACCTGACCAGTCACGGATGGCTGGCTATCGTGTCGATTACCTATCACAAACACCTGTCTATTGTTTTCAGGTTATAACGATACGACTTTAATTATCTCCCCAAACTCTTTGCCAAGTTAAAGAATAAAACTGAAATATGTCAATTATTACTTTTGTATTCTATAATATTTGTTCTTATTTGTTTAAATGACAGACAAGTGCAAGGATCGGTAGGTAAAAAGGACGGGGTACAGAATACTAAGAACTAGGCCCAGTTTAGTTTTTCTTCAATGGAACATTTGTCAGTGGTATTACAGTTGGAGTGTTGATAACAAAGATTAGTTACGGAATTTGGTTGAGCCACAAAATCGCCTAATTAAGAGGATTACTTAGAGATCCGAATGCCACAGTATAATAACAGATTAGAAAAAGAGTACCTTTTAAAAAAGGACCAAAGAAGTTAAGAGTATTCATATGCAGTGAAAACCGTTGCTTACATACATGTACATAGTATAACAGAATCAGATAAACAAATTATTTACAAACATTGCACCTTTCTGACACGTAACATCGCGTCATTCAACAGCTTAAAAAAGTATTTTCAAAATGTCCTCTGGGCCATTTCGTAGCACAATATTGAAAAAGGATAAGGAAAAAACAAATCAATTTATATAATCTTACTTTATAATTTGGGTGTCTTATCGATTTCACAGAGTTGATAGCAAAGATGTGCTATGTGACAAACTGGCCTTAGGAAATTGAACAATTACACTTTGTAACAACTAACAAGTCATCAAGACATCAAACAATCTCATCAAACCTGCCACATTACAAAACGTCCTCACAAACTCATCGTAGACTCATCTTACTGACTCAGCTTAGTGAGTCTGGGCTCCGGCTACGACACGGTCCATGGTCAGACACGGATATCACGCCATCCTGTTTGAACTCATGAGAGAGTTTGTCAAAGCTGATAAATCCCAGCAATTATGATGAGAATATAAGTCAAAGTATAATTTTGTCACTTATACATTGAATTCACCCGCCGAACCCGATGTTCAACTCCGCGAGGTGAGTAGATTTCAGAAAACTGCGGCGGTGTGTTCGTAGAAGTTGTTCTTTTCTTGTCAATGATGGCATATTCCGGCATGTCTCTTGGGAACATGCTTACCGGCATGCTTGATGTCATATCCGGGGCTCTCCGCGTCATCTTTTCTCTCATAACTGCAACGTCATCTGCATCATAGTCCGCTGGCGGAATATCGAATTCCGCCCGTTTGCCTGTGTACACTGTGCTATTGTCTTTTTCAATAAAAGAGGAGGAGGAAGATCCGCTTCTATAACTCTGGCTGCTGTAGGCGGAAGAGAAAGATGGCTGACGAAGTAACGCTTGCCGATCAGTCGTAATTTTTGGGCTCCTGGCTGATTGCGGAGGATAAACGAATTCCTCTCTGAAGCTTCTTGCACTTGATGGAGGAGAGTTTTCTCGATCCTCATCAAAATCAGAGTCCGGGAACTTCTTCTGCTCCTCTGAAGGTGATGGAGATTCCAGTCCAATTCCACTCTCGTCCGAGACATTTCGACTTCGAGGAGACGACCAAGGCATGTTACCGACAATACTAGCGTTTAAGCATCTCCTGTTTTCCACATTTTCCAAGTTTCCTTGTTTTCGTCGGATAGTATCATAGTCTTTTGGAGGTAACAACAAAGGTTTTCCTTCCTTTATTGACACATTTAGTTTTAGTTTGAGTTCATCTGTAACAGATTCAAATGGCATCTGTTCATGAAGACTAACCAAATCAGGCTCGATTTCGTCTGAGGGAAAAGAGTTTGTGCTGCATGTGCTAGCAGCAGCGGAATCTGGAGCGGAATCCGTTCTTGGTTCACTCATTCCGTCGGATGATCCGATTCCAGCATCCCTGGGACTTGGTCGTGGTCGATAAACATATGTAGTATTGATAGGTGCCTCGAGCTCTCCACGGGCGATTAAGGTAAATTCTATCTGCTTTAGGCGGTCTTCACTCATTCCAATAACACCTTGCAGTATCCGGACATACTTGGAAGCCGTTTGTGCTGAATCAAATCTGTAGACGTGCACGTGAACGCTGCGTTTAGTTCTTGGAATATAGCCAAGATAGATGCAGGCGACAGTATCGTCTGGTTGGCCTGTGACCGGGTGTCTGGCTTGTGAGACGTATGTCACATCTTCAACGGGAATGACGGGGAATTTAGTTGTTTTGGGTTTCTTTTTGTTCTTATCAGGAACATCCTGGGAAACTTTGAGTTCGCTTTTACTGACCTGCACGGTGAGCTTTGGAGCGTTCCTCCACTTCTGGTGTTTCCTTCGGAGATCGTCCACTACCGGCCGTGTATATTTCTCCCCCATCAGTCCCCTGCTCTCAATCCATCCCAAGAACTCCACATAAAACTTCTGGCTCTTGTCCTTTTCCTTTCCCTTTCCTCCAAAGAATCGAGACATGATTGATAATTTGATAGAAAACAGTTAATCACAAAATCTCTTATGGAATCCAATATTTTAAGCTATTTCAGATATATTTTTGCATGGAGAAAGAAATTTTTAAAGTTGCACGAGAAATTAAGTCACTTAAATCCGCACGTGTTTTGCTTCACACCTGCTCTGTGTTCGTCGAATAGTAAACTGGCGCTTCGATCAAAACGTTTTTACAATTAAGTTACCTATACACTTGCGCGATTTGATATTGTTCCAAGACTCGTAAATCGGTCTTTACAAATACTATATCAGTCATTTCTTGTGAATAAACTTTTTCCAGTCCGATGAGTTGGGGGCGGGGCTACCTGTCGCTCCTTACTGATCACTTGCACAGGTAGCGAATACGCGGAATTCAGGTGAAATTTTCTGCACACAATCCCTGAAAGAGAAAAACACACAAATAATCGATGCGCATTCCTTTCACTTAGATCAACAATGAGCCGGGTTCCTATCAGATGCATTTCTACAATAGGAACTTGATAACAGTCTGTGCGAAAAAACTCAAATACCTCAGTTTTATTGACTACATGGTTTCAAATTAGAAAAAAATATTTCATAATCACATGAAAATGAAATCACCTATATCACCTGATCACGATCACATAAAAAAAAACTTTGACAATATTTTGTCGCAATATTTCAAATATATAAACATTAATTTAAAGACATCGAAATTTAAAAAAAAAAATAAAATTATTTCATTTAATTAGTATATTGTAAAATATTGATTTGCATTGGGATGGTTTTATCCTGAATTAGGTCACTTGGGTATTGATTTTCTGTCACCTCCCTGGGTGAGATACGTAAATGTAGGTTTGCCAAAAATCCAGTACCCTCATGAATATATCTTCTCAATCAAATTTATCTACTAGCTAAAACCAAAACCCATGAATGAATGTAAATTATGGTCGACATAAACTGGATTGAAAGCTGTATTTTATTTCGACAAAGAAATTCTTACACTAAAATATCATTTTAAAAATACCATAAACGATGGTAAATGCATATTAAACTTCAGAATTCGCCTTAAAAAACTATCATAATTTTGAATAATCAAAATCACGCAAAACTAGACAACTACCAAACAAGATGCCTCCTTGGAATGCTCAACTTATTTTTTCAAAGAATATTGAGTTGCATGAACAGAACATTAACAGCTGCCATATCTGAACAGAAAAAATAAAAATGCTGGGTATTGATAGCCAAGACTTAAAATGGAAAATCGGAATAGGGGGCCACCAAATGAGATATGGTTGCGATCTAGCTATCAAAAGAGGAATGAAAGTCAGGGAATGGGCCAGCTGGGGCACGGTAAAGCGCGGGCATATGTCAGCTGAGAGGCGGAGGGGATGCTCTTCAGATGCATCCCTCAGACAGACGACCCATGCGCCAAAAGGACAAGGTAAGTACCAGTAAGTATACATTTTTATTAAAACTTTTATTAATTTACGACTGTGATTTGTTTTAAAATGACGTCTTTTACTCGCGGGATGACGCATTTTTTTCTTCTTATATTTTCCATCAAAGCAGGATTTTTTTTATCCTTACATTACAGAACTACCTTTATAAGAAATGACCAAGATGGGAACGGTTTTAATAATCTGTGTTATGTTGACTAGCGATAAAATACTTGAATGGTTCATTGGAACTATTATATTACGATTTTTCGATGCGTGATTTAGACTTGATTTCCATTCAGTGTATTAGGATAACATGAAAAAGGGTTAGAAATTTATCGCCGATATAATGGGTGGCGCGTAAGACGATTGTCGTGGTTTGACTGTTATTTCAAGTAATCCAAATGCTCTTTCTGGTCAATGAACATCAAATTAAAGAAAATACAAAATAAAACCGTAACATCTTCTGACTGGTTGAGTTTTCAATCTTTCCTATAAAGACAATATAAGTTAACCATTATTATTTTACTTTTGTTACGATGTCAGCAAAAACGTCACCACTAAGAGTAAGACTGTTGGGGTATTATTTTAACCATCGTGGGATATCACCATATCTAAAATAAGTTTACACACCTCGTGAATTACTCTGACCTTTCGGCAACATATATTTCAATATTCATTTGATAGGATTGAATATTCAAAATAATAATAAACCTTTTTATAACAAAGGAAACTGACAAACAAAGATGATGGGCATGTTAAAGCGAAGTATCTCCTCGCAAAGAGCATACTGATTTCATAAATCAAGACAATATTCGATATCAATACGATGCTAATTACCTCACTTAAGGTCAAGATCTAGTAAATGAAAGGTGCCTACAGATTTATAAAACTTGAGAAATAAATTCCTTTATTGATGCTTTATAACTTTAGCTTGGTGAAATAAGGTGTTTCGGGGCATAATTTGTAGGTAAATAAGATGAAAAACTTTATTTTAAACTGTCATTTTCAATGAAAAATTAAGAAAATCAGTCATGATTGAATATGGGAGTTGTTTTCGTATTCGGCAAAGGAAATGTATCCAGATTGCCTACAGTCTCTCAGAAAACGGTAATTAGTATGTTCATGGCCTTTTCTTTAAATCAATATCAAATTAAATATAGGTATCCGGTTTACTTTTCATATGATTTCAAGTTGAATGACATGAAAGTACCCCATTTTCTACATAATTCTGAAAAAGCCGTAAGGTACGGGAAAAAGAAAGTTGAAATTGATTATGACGTCATAATGGATCTAGCACCAAAAAATTACTCTCAAGTTATTTACTAGATCTTGAACTTAATTCCGTTTCGCACAAGGACTGACGAACTAACACACACACACACACACTACTTACAAGTTCACTTTATTCACCCAAACCGAAATAGGGTACATGGGGTGCATTAATAACACATGCATAAAGCGCTTTACAAAATTCCCTTCAACTCCCTTGCGAGGGGATAAAACGAGTAAAAATGATCGACGTTTTATAGATTTTCGTAGGTTCTGACTCGCGGTATGTTTCCTCTTATTTTCACTAGAGTCTGGTACATTCTGAACTGATAAGTGTCTGTGAAACATAAACTCATAAAACTTACATTTTTGTTACAATTGTAATTAATTCGTTTGACACTCATTAGAATCAATGCATAATTTACTGAAAAGGGATGTTCTATATTCCTCGTTATTTTGTTCGTTATCTTCACAGTAAGAACTTGTGACGGTGCAACGATAAACTCTGGACAAGACATTAGTCCGGACTTTTGCCAACATGTTTTTTCCAGATGTAATAAAACGTACAATGCTATTAATACATGGAGGGATTTCTCATGAAATTCCTAGGACACCTGTAGCCTATATATTGTAGGAGTTATTACACCTGAAAACAAGACATATGATATTTCCCTAATTGATATCCCACCATATTCCTACTGGAAAATTCTTATCATAAATTCTATAGGATGTTGTCTCCCATTAAAATTGTGATCTGATATTTTGTCCCACAAGAAAAACTACAGACAAAATATCCCAATGCATATTCTAGTTATTATTTTAATGCTTTGGGTAGCAATCTTTAAATAACCGATGCCAAAAAAGAATCGTAATTGCTAGTAAGTTTCAGATTGAATAAATATTGAGATAGCGTACTTACGTTTATGTTACTTTTTGAAAGAACCGGCCAAAGGAATTGCTTTTTCGGTCGTTGTAGATTTTCAGTGTAAACAATACTGATGTTGTAATGGCACACCTATCACTGTCAGCGTTTTTCACGGGACTCACCTGAGTTACAATACGGGTAGGACAGAGGCGACCTTAACCAGGGTTTGTTTTGTCTGCCACAAGACAGCGTAACAATGCTTTAATTACCGTTATTGTGGGGTAATCTCTTGTTTACAAGCTGTGAAATTCTACATGTTTTTACTGTGAGTGTTCGGGTAACACGCCGCAATTTTGACAATCTGAAACATTCTTTCAATCAAATTACAATCTATACTAAAGTTTTGAAAAACAGTAGACAAGCCACCGACTTAAGTGCAATTAAAAAAAGTAAAAATGTGATCAGATAAGATTGGCTATACTAAAACCTGAGTGTAAGGTTTTCCGTGAATTTACTACAGTTCTTCAAATGGATACTATTTTTAAAAACTCAAACACTGAGCCCACCATGAACCAAAGTACTGGAGTTTAAAAATGAAGTTCGTTGATCAAACACTGGGAACTGTTGCCCGGTGTCAATATTTGTCCTCTTCAATTTAATTAGAGCTATTGGGAGCTTGTCCGAAATTCCTTTGACGCAGGTTCTAAAAGAATCAAACCAGATTTGGTCGGTGAATGACGCGCGGTTCCTTATAAAATGATAAGTCGGAGATCGGTTTCAATTAAAAATTTGTTTTTCTTGTCAACAGCCTATTTTTATTTGGTTGATAGATTTTTCTTAAGAATTTATCAGGTAGTTGATACGTTTACAATAGAAAACAAACATTTTCTATACACATTGCTTGTTTAGAGACTAAAAAAATATCAACAGATTTCGCCAAGTAGATAGAGAAGCACCAAGATTTATTTGACCAATAAGAACAGCAGGACTAAAGACAGGTACGATGGACTCTTGGGGTAGATGTACGGAATCAATTCAGTGAAAAGAAGCAATCTTAAGAGAAAAAAGTTTTAACTTGTTAAAAAAAGCGGTAACTTCAGAACATCAGATACATTGTTGTATTTTAAAAATGAGGTTAAATAATTTGTACGGAGGCTAGGGGTCAGCAAATTAACAACCAGATATAACTAATTTTTTTTAATATGATATCTTAAGCTGCATGTAATCTATCATTTGGCAAAGAAAAATTTCATAAATTTTAGTTTTAAAATTTGATCATTTTAGTATACTTTTATATGGAGCTTTTCTTTTAAAGGAGACCAAAATAGTCTAAAAATTGCCACAACCAAGCCCCTTTAATTCAAAGATTTAGATTAATATAAGATTCTACCTGGCTGACTGTAACTCTCGTCGGTATAACGTCTGTCTGTTTTGTTTTTTGTTCGCGAAAACTTTCGTCCTCTCCTTAACTTTTTGGGGATCCCAACAAATTTGACATTATCCTTGGAACCACTTTTGCAAAATATTACCAAAATTAACTTTGACCATAACTGTTTGTGATGTCGACTTCATGGCATTAACCTTTAAGTTTTACCTACTTTTGAAAGACTTTAACCGTGGATATAACTTCTGAATCACTACATGGTGCTAGAACAATATTATTGGCATACGTTACCTTTTATTTCTATTTACAGCATTTTAGGTTAAAACTATCAAAGAATTTATAAGTAGAGACAACAGTATTTACAAATAATTTTGTTCTTTGTTTTCTTGTACAAAAGTGCCAATGCATCATAGTTTTCCTACACGGAGATGCCTGAGGACGATGTAAAACTAGTCTATCTCGGTGTTCTCTTTTGCTTTGAGTGATTGATTTGATTAAAGCAAACATT